ATATATATATATATATTTATTTATTCTTAAGACAATTACAACAAATATAATTCAAAATATATTAAAAAGTCATGCCATCTTAGGCTGAAAATTTAACTTATTTTTGTTATTAAATGATTTTTTGAAGGATGTATTTTACACAAGTTCACTACATCGTATTGTCACCAATACATATTTCACCATACTTAAACTATAGAATTTCTCTCTAATAGTAAAATGTGGAATTTACATTACTTGTTTCTTCACAAGGTGTAGGGTTAAAGCTTGAGCAAGCTCGGACTTAACTAGCACACGACTCGTTCAAAATTAATTTTATTTAAAGTGGTTCGTGTTTGAAATTGCCGGTTAACAGTGTGTTCGTGTTTGACTCAATTTACATAATTCTTATTCACGCTTGACTAGAAATTTGTTCATTTAAATTTATTAGAAAAAAAGATATAGTGCATTAGATTTAGACTCGCATAAAATAAAAGACACAAAACCATATAAACACTTGATTCACGGTGATTTAAACTTTAATATAAATAAATAAGTACATACATAATATATAATCTTGTTATTTCAAGCTAAAAAGAGCAAAACACGATTGAACAAACAGTTGTTCATGTTTAGCTCATTTATAATTCAAGTTTAAAAAACTAGTTCACATTCAACCCACTTACTTAACGATAATGAATAAACAATTCAAACACGAGCTACTTAACAAGTCAAACACGAATTACTGGTAAACAACAAGTTTTAATGACAGCCCTAATAAGGTGTACATTAAGCTCCACAACTCAACAACATATAACACACATACAAGAGAAAAAATTCATAGACACAATGATTTGATACTTGGAAAACAAGGAGAAAATCTTTGGATGTATATAGTAATCCTAAGTAAGCTAAAAATTAGGGCGCACAGACAGACACACACACATATGATCAATCAGAGTGTCCATGGTGTGGGGAATCAGCGAAGGTGGGCTTTAATGTGGTCAAGATGGACAACCTGGCCACTGGCTATAAACAATAAAACCCCGTGCAGAGCAATCCACGCCACTCTCACGTGCCTCGTCCTCTATTCCCATCATGGAAGGAAGTGTTAGGAAGGATGCAAAGTTAAATGATTTTCTTATTAAATATATTAAGCAACATTTACATACATACCACTTAACTCTTATATATTTACACATCTAACCTCTAAATTTCATTTTTTTTTTTTATGCCTTATCTTAACTATACATGAAATCATGCATTTTAGTTTACAAAAGTTAAAATAGTGGTAGTTTTTATGTAATATGATGTATAAATGTAATAAATTAAGTTTAGAGGTAAGATATGTAAATACATGAGAATTGGAGGGTATGTATGTAATTGCCCATGAAGTTAAAGAGGCTCCCAGCGGCTCCCTGAATTTTCTAACTCCATTTTCCACGCATTATGCCGTCCAGATTGTATTTTCTTTTTCTTCCATTAGTTCAATCTCTTTCTCTCTCTTCTCTCTCTCTCTCTCTAGTTTTTTCTAGTGAGATAAAATAAAGGATAAATTATTATGTGCAGACGACTGAATATACATATACGTACAATGATGAATAGAAAATTCACAACATCATCACAAATTTATGTATATACGACGTGTCCTCATTTACTACTATCCATGCATGCAATATCTGTACGTAATAATTTGGTACAATAAAATAGTTTAATTTTTTCACTAAATTCTTTGAAGCAAATTACAATTGGAAATAATTATTTATTTAAAGGTAAATAATTATCTTTTTTTTTCATGTAGAACAAAACTCAGATTCTACAACTTTGAAATTCTTCACTTTGTTTCCGGCGAATTTGCTATGCATTTTAATAGAAATAAATAATTGTTATTAACAATAATTAATTACATTAGCTAATAACATAGGTAGAAAGAAGAATCTATTAATTAAGTAATGTATCTTTAATTAATCCAAATTACAGTTAATAAACTTGATGAAATCCTCATTGATCACTGATAGTGGCAGGGTAAGCCATAGACTCAAAAAAAGGTTTGAAAATTGTAATTAGTAAATAGAGACCATTTATTATAATGAAAACAAAAACTTGAGTGCCATTCATAGTGCAGAGGCAAATAAGGGGGTGTCAAATTGGGTCCATGGATTGTGATCAGTTCTAGCAGGAAATTGATCCGACCTGAAAATAATTGACCCGAAACTATCCCAAACATTAATTAACCTGCCAACCAAAACTTGACTCACATAACCCATTTAACATAAGGAATAACATATGTCCAGGTCAACGTTAGGTTAAATGTGAGATCAATTTCGAGTACATCTTGCATAAAATCCTGATTTACGAGTCAATTTTGGGTCATTTTTTAGTTGGCGGGCCAACTCAAATCTGACCAAAAAATATCAATTGATTAAGATTGTAAACCCGATTTTTTTATGTTGGGTTTGAGTCTTGTTAACGTGTCAAGTCAATTTTTAGCACCCCTATGATAAAATGCCATTGATGCATTTATCAGCAATGAATTTAAATCCATTTAAGCCAACTATAATTTTTTATAAAAAAGATTATAAAATAATCATGAATAAAACACTTTTAAAAACCTATATATTTTTTAAATAAACAACTACCCATCAAAAGTACATTTGATTCTAAAAAGTAACTTCTCATTATAGAAAATTTCAAAAAATCTAACAATAGTCTTAGAATAAAATAGTGAGAAAATTATCTCAAATAACCCTTGGTTAATCCTATTAATATAGATAATTATCAAGTAAACTAACTAATGTTTTTCTTAATTATATATCCTATTAAACTCAAAATTATCAACATCATCATTATCATCATTAGTCTCATCCTAATTTTAAGCAAGCTAATACAAAACTCCCTTTTTTTTCATTCATTTACATGCAAATTTTAATTGCGATTATAAACATATTCTGCATAAATCTTTAACTTCAATTCACATTATCTTAAGTCTACTCATTAAGCCTAGAAATTATATCTACACTTTTTTTTTATGTTTTTACATTATTTACACTTACTAACACTTGTGTTCACTTTTTAAAAAATAGCAATGGTGGTATTTTAGACGTGATGTTAACGATTTGAGTGATCTGTATGTAAATATGAACGTTTAGGTAGGTAAATACATAAAAATTGTATGGTATATATGTAAATGCAGCAATAGTTTATTCATGTAGAAAAACAAGCAAAATACAAAAAGTGGACTATTCAGCTTCCATATCATCTTCCAAGATGCTATCAACTCTAACCACCAAACTTGTACAAATTGGAAATTAGCTGGAAGACCCATCTTTCACTATCATTCACCACATGGAGCAAAAATACATAAATAAATAAAAGAATAGGCCAAATTATATAAATTTCAATATCATTGAAAACTTAAATATTGATAGATTCAAGGTTGAACAGTAACTTTTACACTGCAAATTTGGAGCTCAGATTTGTAATAATGAATAAGAGGGGGGCTATTTTACCTTTCAATTGGGAGAGAAACTTAAAAAGTTTGAAAGCAGAAATCACACAAATAACAACTGAAGCTGCATGAAAATATGTTGACAAAAAATATGTTGTATAAATGATATTTTTTTCAAAATAATTGTGGATATTATTATAAACTTTTTTTTTTCTTATTTAAAAAGGTTACACAACAACAAAGCAAATGTCACAAAGCATTTGGGGCAGCGGTAAGGTGATGGTGCTGGCACTCCACCACACTTATGATGTTTGGAAAAACACATTTATAAAAAGTTGTGGTGAGAAGTTGCATTTTGCAACCTGACCCGGCTAAATGTGGTGGATATCAGAAAGTTGCAATTTACCTTTTTGAAAAAAAAATTTGTAATAACCACTGCACTTTTTTAAACAGTTTCTTCTGCAAAAGCTTCATAATTGCTTCTTCAAACATCTACAATTGCCCCAAACAGATCCTAAATTTAGTTCTTAGAGGCTGTTACTGATCACAAAAACTTCTGCAAAAAAAAAAAAAAACAATAAGATAGTTGTAGTCGAATAGGACCGTGGTTGTTGTCTTTAAAGTAAAGTGGTGAAAAAGCTGTCCTAAATATACCCATAATCACAGTAAGCATTGATGTTTGTTTTAGAGTCAACAATGCACCTCATAATGGTGACGGTCAATCAATATATCCAGCCAAAAATTTGAAGATGATGCTGAAAAGTTTAGAAATACACATTTTTAATGCAACTATAATAATGTGATGTATATAAATCATTCAAGGAGTTTAATATTCTCCAATCATACAACACTAAATAAGCCGGCTTTCTTCAATTGGGAGTAAAAATAAAATACAAAAATTAAAAACAAAACAATAATGTAATGATCAAAATTTAATCGATAAAAATAGATCAAAGAAAGAAATTATCAAAATAAAGAAATATAAGCCTCGTCATAGTACAAGGAGATGAATTCATTCACAACTAGGAAGATAAATTTATACTTCACTCGAAAGAATCACAGATCCAATCTCTAAATACAAAACCGAGAATTGGAAGAAAAATTCTTATTCAGTCTAAAATAATAATCACACATCTCAAAATATTTATTTATAAATTACTCATCTCAAGATTAGTAAATATGATTAGTATATAATTAGACTAGTTTAATATTAGTTCATTCGAATTCAAAACGCAGAAGTACCTAAATTTCAAACATTCCACTAACAAGAGTTAACTCCATGGCAGCAATACAATAGCCTGCCATGTTTCAAACATTTAACTAACAAGAGTTAAACTCCATGGTATCAGTAAAATAGCACACCTTCGATGACCTCCTAACAACTATTTGTCTTTAGCATTTTCCTAACTGTAGGTCCCAATTTTGTCTAACAATAAAATATGAAAAAGAATTGAAAAAAAATATTAACATAACCGCATAATACCTCAATCGCATGCAACAAAAAACTTCTATGGCAACACCGAAGAAAAAGATAGGCAACATTATAGTCCCACATGCACTATACTATAATTTCCCATCAATCTACTCCCCACAAAAAAAGGGAAATTTACATATATAGCACACAATTCTTAGGTATTTACATATCTCACACCTAAACTTTCATTTTTTACATGGAAAGCATTTTGGTGCTTTAAATTTATGCATGAAAAGTTGTATTTCACTTTTAAAAAGTGGTCCTAGTGCTATTTTTGATGTGATATTAAAGATTTGAGTGCTATGTGTGTAAATATGAAAGTATAGGTGTGAACTATGTAAATACATAAGAATTGAGTGTTGTACATGCAAATGTCCCAAAACTTGAACCTTCAATATCACTATAACATCAACACAATAAAAATCATAAGTTGCACTTGAATTGAACTTAAGGGTTGAACTTGAAGTTATTCGAGAAACAAAGGAACATAATTAGGGTGTAAGTTCTGCACATCCTAAGAAATAATCCGCAAGTTATCATAAGCATATTGCTCACCAATAAACAATATATCATTCTTAACTTCATAGACACAAGTATGTCTGAAACTGCATAAAATTTAAGGTAAAATAAATAAACTTTGCAATTACAAATTTTTGAAGTAATGTTTTGACAAAATAAATAATGAAGCCACCCGAGATTGGCAGCCAAATGATGAAGCACGCTATAGAGATGTTTCCTGATGCTTGGTCTTCGTCAGCCCAGCACTAATGCTTTGGTTTGCACACTATATTAACTATTTGAGAAATTTACATACGTACCACACAATTCTTATGAATTTACGTATCTGACACCAAAAATTTGATATCCACATTCATAACACCTTGGTATCATAACTATATGCATGAAAAGGTGTATTTCAATTTTGAAAGTTAGTAATATTAGTAATTTTGTTGTAATGTAAGGTATTTGAGTGGTAGGCATGTAGATTTCAAAGTTTAGGTGTTAGATGTGTAAATATATAATAATTATGTGGTATGCATGTAAATGTCTCCCCATTGGATTACACACATCAACAGAACAGGAGATTTGTTTCCAAGGTTAAGTATTATCAATGGTATGATCCCCATATCACTGGATCAAATCATTCAGCAATACATTGTAGAGGAAGAGAAGGCCATTTTCAACATTATTGCATATCAGAGTACTAAAAAGAAGAAAAATATCATAACAAACAAGTAATTATGACACATTAATATGGCAAAATATTTGACCCAATTGACCTTTGGTAAATATTGCAAAGTATTTCTTGCCCATGAGACTTCGGATATTGTGGCCATTGATAATATGATGCTCAAAATTACATGGAAGCTGAGTAGTATTAAATGCATTACAGTCCTGAAAAAAACACTCGCATTTTTAGAGGATAGTTTACAATAGAAGTATATAATGCTGCTACTCAATGCTGACACCTGAAAAATACACTTGACACCACCACATGCACAAGAATAATGGAAATTACATGTTAGAATACAGAGACTAATATTTGGCAGAAAAAAAATTAAGTCGAATTAAGTCAACTTAGTGAGAAGGGCTAAAGATCATTCATTCTCAAAGTAAATTTTCAAATATGAATTCTATTAAATCTAACTTTTATGAAAAATGCAAAGAAGGTTTAGCTTCTAAAAGATTGAAAGAGAGCTTTAAACAAAAGCTATAATTAGTTCATGCGAATGTCTAGGGACCAACCCAATCCCATCTTTCGGCGACTCAATGTACTATGTATTGTTCATAGACGATTACATTAGGAAACATATAGATTTATTTGATTAAAAGTATATATGACGTATATAATGCCTTGTCGGATAAAAAATTTTAATTAAAAAGAAGACTAGTGTAAAAACTAAATTTTACAATGCCAAAATAATGGAGAATATGATGGCATTAGAAAATTACTACACTGCCAATGGGATACCTTTGGAGAAAATTATCACAAGATCAGCTCAACAAAATGGATGCAAAAAAAAATGAACAAAACTTTAAATAAGATTACCAAAAATAGGTGAGATTATATATAGCAACATAAAAATTGCTATTTATAAATCTAGCACCCACTTTCATCCATCCTTCAAATTCTCACTCAAATATCAAAATTCATGATAAAACCCCAACCCATATTTTTCTTTTTTTTAATCAAATTCTCAATTGTCTATCCGTGGTACGTGTAAATACATCGGTTTGGTAGTTCAAAAATATCACATGGTGTTAGATTTTGTAAATATCAATGTTTCAGGTGCCCTGTATGTAATTATCCCAAAATATTTTGGTTTGGTACAGTAAATACATCAACATATCTCAACAATCGAGGCCTATCTGAAGCTATATATTTAGGCTTTCTAAAAAGGCTTAGATTGCCAAAAAATGCACGTCTCACCTCTAAAAATTCTTTCTGCCATTGCTTTGTGCGTACATATAATAATAAAAGAGATAAACATAATCAAAAATGAAAAGTTGTCACTTCATTAGCTATGACATTGATGATTTTAAATACGAATTTTGGGATGATAGAAATAAAAATTAATCAGAAAAAAACATTATTTTCAAAGAAAGTGAAATGTACAAAGACAAGCTAAGCATGATTGAAAAGGAGATCTACACCACATAATATGTTGAATAAGAAAAGCAAGTTAATTTCACAAAAAATTAAAGCCATTAGAAAGTAAGTAGAATCAACCTTAACACAGTAAAGGACAATAGATCATAATGAATTCTCAACAATATTAATCATTATTCTCCTTCACTTTATTATTTGCTATTTACTTATAGAGTTCAGCCTGAATACTATGAAGAAATTGTATAAATTAAAGATTCATCAAAATGATAGTTATCAATGAGAGAAGAGATAGATTATTTCTATAAAAATTAAAAACCAAATATTGACTAAGCTATCTAAATAAACGAAAAGCTTTACTTTATTAAAAAAAAGGATCTACAGTATTAAAAGAGGTAAATTGGTAGCAAAAAGTATGAGGCAAGGCTGGTAGTGAAAGATTGCCAGACTGAAAATTTCTCGCTTATAGTTTAACCAACAAGTATATTGTTAGTATTGAGTATTGTAGCCACAAAAGTCTTGCTCCCAGAGCAAATGAATGTTAAAATTGCTTTTTTCTATGGAAGTCATTATATGGTTCAATCTAAAGATTCAGTACACAAAAACAAAAAAAAAAAAAAAAAAAAAAAAAATCGAATCTGCATGCTCAATAAAAACTACAAGTTGATTACACAAAATCAAATAACAAATTGATTGCAAAAAATCAAACAATGCATGTGCAATGAGAGTTTTTAGTCGATATACATCAAATACATGAAAGAAATGTTGACAGGATGTAAAGTAAATCATGCACTATCTAAAAGGTATGATTAATCACTCCTTAACTTTTAAAAGGGCAAATCTGAGACTACAAGGATATTTTGATACGGACTGTATAGAAAGCATGTGTGTAGAAGTGCTAATGCTAAATCTATTTCTCAGGTAATATTGGCACTAATTTCGTGCTATAGCTATAAAAAATAATGGCATTATCAATAATAAAGCTTGAATATGTATCTATCACCAAAGCCAACAAAGAGATAAACTAAAAGGTTTTCTAGAATAACTAAATCAATCATAAGAAGACATTTTCTCTATTTTGTTATAATCACAAGTGTCATTCACTTGACAAAACATGAAGAATTCTACCACCAAATAAAGCATAGGCAGCTTAAGCACCACTTCATATGCAACTTGTTTGAATATAATATCTTACAGCTCGTTAAAATCAACCCTGCAAATATACTTGCAATAGTGATACCCACTGAAAACTTGCAATTTTGAAAACCTCAATTAACAAACATCTATGAGTGAAGATATGGGGGTGTTGTACAGAGAGATGTTCAAACACACACCATTAAATGCATACATAATAAAATTTATCTCCCAACTGAGAAGTTGCTAAAATATGAATTACCAAACTCATAAGAGTTTCTTAAGTACACCTTTTACCCATCCCCTATAAATTTGTTAGCTATCATTTTTTACTTAACATTTACATTAAGATCTACTACCATCTACCTAATAAATTTAAGATTTTCACGCGCCACTTATAAGCACCATATAAGAAAAAGGTTATATGTGTTTAAGCATCTCACAACTACAAGCAGATAAAAAAAAAAGAAAGTAGATGAAGGAAAAGGATTTAGCTATCAGCCATAATAGAGATGAGCCATTACAACAACAAAAAGCCTTTATCCCACTATGTGGAGTCGGATACATGAATCCTTTTTCTCCATTGTGTCCTATTGACTGTCATATTCTCATTTAATTCTAATAAATTAAAATCATTTTTAATACAATATGCCCACGCCTTTTTAGGTCTACCTCTACCATTCTTAACAAAAGTCGATACTCTCCTAACCGGATCATCAGACTTTACAAAAGTCTCCAAACCATCTAAGACGACTCTCTCTACTCATGTCTGCCACTAGAGCTACTCCAATCCTTTCAAAGATACAATCGTTTTGCTACCTCTACCTTTCTAAACAAAATCGAGAGAAACCTTTATAGTAAAAAAAATAAAAGAAAATAATCACGCACAGCCAAGTAGAGAAAGTAACATCTTTATGTATTCATCTCCTCATTCAACCCTTATCTTTGTAGCAGGTGGATATGTTCCTTATTCCTTATTAACATGAGAAAATGATATCTTCATCTTTATCTTTGCATGTGTGAAAAAATCTTTAAAATGGTCCTCTTATAGCTTAGTGAGATATTTGATCTCAGCGAGACCATACACGTAAGTGAACATCACCAACTACGTAACATTATATCTTATGATTGCAATTTTTAATGGAAAAATAGATCTTTCACTGGTAAATATGAAAACATTTCTGGACTAATTCTCCCCTGTTTCTTCTGTTAATCATACCTATTTCGGTGATAAAAAGTTTGCAATTTACAGATAAATATGTCTTAAGAATCCGGATTTGCAAGACCTACATGAATTGAATATGCCCACATCAAAACTTTTAAGTTAAATTAAACGGAGTTGGCAATATATCGGCAGCAGAACTGGATCAGGCCCAAACTATTTTGTTTCATGGATCAACACTTAACTGATTAGAGAAAAAGGTATCTCTAAATGGGAATTTCTATTAAAAAAATAAATACTCAATCAAGTAGCAGAACTGCAGAACAGACAACAAACCCTAATCCCTCTGCAAAACCACGACCACACAAACCTGCGAGCCCTTGCACACAGCCATGGTTTCGATCTCCCAACGATAACTCTCTAGGCCAGCTTCAGTGGTGCCATGTCGCCTCGTCCCCCAAAAGCCCCACCTTTCCCACTAGAAGAGCTCCGCTCGCTAAAACCACCTTCAACTATACACGTGCATACCACACATTTTATGTATATATATATATTCTAAAATCAAAACATTCATATATATATATATAGTATATAAATGTTTAAAATAATATAAAAAATATTATCACCGCCGTTTTATTGTTAAATATGTTAATATATAAGAATTGTGTGGAATGTAATTTTTTTTAATCCTGTGTTAAATAGAAAATTGTAATAAGAAATAAATAAAAAAGCCCACTTTTACATCAGACCTTCCTTTCTCCATGCCCATAGAACCTCGCGCCTTTATAAAGAAGATAAATTTGGACTGATATCTATATAGAAATACAGAATAGTGGAGCGCTCGACTCGTTTTTCTTCATCAGCCGACTTTCAAATGGAACTCTACTGTCACACAAGAGCTGCTTTCTCTCTCCCCCGACTCCCCCTCTATCCAATCCCTCGCTCCCACCCATCCTTCTCTTCATCCAAAACCCTATCTTTTCACTCCAAACCAGGTACTTAATACCTTACAAAGAGCCTCAAATTGTTTCTCGGACGAGTCTTCTTCTTCTTGCCCTGGAAGCAAGTTAACTTTTTATGTGCATATACCCTAATTTCTCTACACCAGTTATCCTCACCCCATTTCCTTTCAGGTTTGCATTGGTCAAGAGCCACGGCCTCTGAAGAGACCTCGACCATCGTGTCGCAGAAGTTCGGCGATGCTTTGGAGCCGAAGAAGGCTCCGGTAACTGAGGATTTCTCACTTGTAGAGACTCCGAATGATGGGGAGCTAAGCGAGGCTGAATATTTACTTAGCAAGCTTGGTTCCAAGGTGAGTTTTTTGTCTGTGCGGGCTTTGCTTCGCGATTCCTATTTGTCTTAATTTTTGCGGGTAAATTATGTGTTTCAGTTTATCTGTATTGCGCTTTGAATGATTGATGAGGCCTTGGATTCTGAATTCCTTGTTCTTCTTTACAATGGCTAATCATGTTATCTTATATATACAGTTGGAGTAATATCAGTTGTTAAATGATCATATAGAATGCATGGAGCAGAGGACGGTCAGGATCTTGAACATAATTAGACTGAATAATCCCATATATAAATGCCCTCCTGCGAAGTAAAATACTAAAATTAAGTCATACTTGTGCTTTAATTTCAATCTGAAAAAGTAGCGGAGATATTGCATTGTAATCTACAGAAGTATCTGTTTCAGAGCTAGAAGAAGGGGTATTGAAGTTCTAGATGAAAATCAGAGATTAAGGGGGATTGAGGTTTCAAAAGCTGATGCTGAATTATTTAGTTCTTAATTTTGCTTAAAGATTATTGGACAATTGTCTAAAGATGCTGCTCAAGAAAAGATAATATTGATGATTTGAAGGTCAAATTTCATGCTTAATAATTTTTTTTGAATGGAACAAGAATTTATTTCCTTTATATTTTGGTTGGTTTTAATCTTTCTAGCCTTAGCTTATTTTAGAGCAAGTTGTTGAGAAAAAAAGGGCGAAGAAAAACATAAATCGACACAAATCTAGAAGAACTCACAGAAATTTAATGATGTTCGACAAAGATGCTTGCGTCCTCGGGAGTAGAGTGATGAATTTCACTATTTAAGAGTAGTCCAGTAAATACCCATAGGGTTACAAATCATATATATAGATAAAACACACAGATAAAATTACTAACATGTGCCCTCGCTCCTCCAACGCTCCTCCAACCCACTTATCTCCAGGAGACATACCTCTTCAGTCTAAGAGACTTCAAATTCTAGTATATGAGTCACACCTAACAAATTTTCACTTTAGCGAATATCCAGCCTCTTGGGAGAAATACATCATGAAGTTTCTTACACCGAATTGGGTTGGACAACCATGCCGTCTAACAATTGCAAACATTCAATAAGTTCAAGCGATGCAAGTACTTGTTGATAATATCTGATTTTGTCAACATATCTACCGCAATTTCATCATATGATTCAACTGAGTGAACTCCACCTACAACTGTACTTCTTAACAGTTTATAGATATTACCTGCAGTGATCTTTCATTTCATCACGGTCAATGCATCTTTAATAATTTTGATGGTTTCTCTATCCTCATCTGTCTTAAGAATAAAATCATTTCTGTGTAAAGTGTCCATTGAAATTAAATTCTTCTTCAAATTTAGAATATGTCTTACATCACATAATGTTCTGACAGTGTCATCATACATTTTAATTCTGACTTTTCCAATGCCAACAATATTGTAACATCTATCATCATCCAAATAGACTGAACTAGAATCAGATAACATGTATGAAGTAAACCATTCTCTACTAGGTGTCATGTGATAAGAACATCCTGAATCAATAATTCATGCATTCTTCAACTGAGTTGTTGTAACTGAAAGTGCATCACTATCACTGTAATCTGTAATTTCACTCAGCACCATTTTCATTGACTTGGAAGATACATCATGTTTCTCATCAAACTATTTTTTAAGCTTTGGACAATCTCTCTTCATATGTCTCGGCTCTTTGCACTTGTAGCAATAAATCATCTTTCTGTCTTTAGACTTTGACCTGAAATTTCGCATTCCAGAACTCTCCTTATCCTCCTTCCTTTTATGATTCTGATTACCCTTAGCATATAAACAATTACCATAAGAGTTTTTCCTGCATTCTGCTTCCGCTGGTTGTGAGCCAATAATGTTGCATTAATCTCATCAATTTTGACTTTATCTTTCCTATATATAAGAGTAGTCATCAGATGTTCATAGGAGGAAGACAATGAACACAATAAAATCATTGCTTGATCTTCATCTTCAATACTCACATCAAGCCGTGTCAGATCTGTGATTATTTGATTAAAGACATTCAAATGCTGCGCCAGATCAGTGTCTGCCTGCATCTTCAGCCCATAGATACAATTTATTTGTTAGAGATTTAGATATAAACTGAGATTTCAATTTCTTCCATACTTCTCCTGAAAATTTCAGATTCATAGCATGATGCATAATCTCATCCGTCAGACATAAACGTATGGTAACTACCGCTTGTTGTTGCAATTCTTCTCAATCTTCATCTTCCATATTATTAGGTTTCGTAGCTTGCAAAACTTTCAAAAATTCTTGTTGTGTCAACAACTCTTTCACCTTTTTTTGCCACAATCCGAAGTTATCGGTTCCATCGAACTTCATCATCTCAAATATCTCACCAGACATTGCTATTTAAAATTATTCCTGCAGCAAATTTTTCCTGTTCGCACTAAAAAAATTCGGTCAAACTACTGTAAACACCTTGCCCGAAGCTCTTTCTTGTTCACGTAAACGCCTTAGCTGAACTTCACTCGTCACACCTCCTCGCGCTACAAATTTGTGAACTCCGCTGTCCAAACTCTTCTGTTCGCAAAACGACGCTCCTGTTTGCGATAACTTCTGTTCACGAACTCCACCTAGCCTAACGTCGCTAATGTTCGTGAATTGTTGGGCTTCAAAACCCCGCTGAATTTCAAAGAACAGAACTCCTCCGGCTGTCGCGGAAGGAGCTTGGATGCGTGAATTCCACCTCGCCGAACTCCTTCCCGCCATCGCTAGAGATTTTCTGCTGGCGAGTTTGCAGAGACCTCGTCTCCTCTTGTCGCGACCTTCTTTGCGAACCAAAACACTGCATTTGCTGCGAACACCTCGCCACAGGAATTACGAAGGAATATTCCTTCTTCTCCTCCGATTGTTGCTTCCGCCACCTTAAATTCTTTTTTCGCGTCCGCACGAATGCTCGCCATGTCAAACGCTCCGCCACCCGAAAGCCTGCAACGGCGAACGCCTTGCGATTCTGCTGAAAACTGCGAACTCCTCCAAACCGCAACACCGCGATTCCTCTATCGCGATCAAATCTGCGCGAACTTTAACTCCTGTCGCGGTAGCGATGCCCGCAATTCGTTTCTGCCTATCTTGTCGACGTCTGTCTTTGTCGCACCAAATCGATCCTGTCGAACACCTTCGCGAAACCCTTCGCGCCTATTCTGGTCACAGCCAAACTTCCTGTCGCAGGCAGAAGAAGCCCCGCAGTGCCGCCTGAAGGCTAAATCGTTCGCATGTTCGTCACTTTGCACGATTTGCTGAAGCGAAACTGCTGCAAACCGCAGCCCTCAATTGCTGAATCTTCTTCTCTCTGCACCGAAATTTTTTTTTTCCCCTTAAACCTCGCTCTGGTACCAATTGTTGAGAAATTAGGGCGAAGAAAAACATGAATCAACATAAATCCAAAATAACACAGAGATTTAACGAGGTTCGACAAATATGCTTACATCATCGGGAGCAGAGCAACAAATTTCACTATTTCAGAGAAGTCTAGTACATACCCATAGGGTTACACATCATATATATATAAATAAAACTCACAGATAAAATTACTAACACGTCATCGCTCTCCCAACCAACTTATCTCCAAGACATACCTCTTCACTTCAAGAGACTCCAAATTCTAGTATATGAGTCATACCTAACACAAGTGATGACCAAGATTTTGATAACAAAATATGTTAATTTTTGTTTCTTGGTGAGATATAGTTTTTTTTTTTCTCTTTCTGTTTAATAATAATTTTCTTTTTTCAGCAATTCTTTAGAATTTTTTATAAGATTCAACTAAGCTACAACCATGGCCAGAATTTACCTATACAAGAATGAATTTATATCTTGTAATTTACTTGTACGATTTTTGTTTTTGTAGGTGATGTTGCAACCTTTTGAACCTTTTAGAAGACGACCTTTACTTGGTCTATTGGAAGCATAAATTTTAGCTTCCTCTGTTATTTCAAAATTTATTGAAATTTTTTGGCATTTATTTTTGCATTCCCTTTTAGTACATTTCATATTCTGGATATTTGAATCTCGTGATTGATTGAAACAAGCATAGGATTGTATACATTTGCCAGTGAATTTCATTAGCATACTCCTTATCCATGAAATTCTTAAGTATAGAATTGTCTTCAGTTGGATTATAAAACCATTTTCTATGTTTATGTGCATTGGTATAATTATCACTATGTTCTTTCTATAATAACCATGGGCCATTGACAACCCAAAATTTTAGAATAACTTCTAATTAAAATAACTAAAATATAAGAAATTAAATATTTATTCTCTTGGTTTAACAAGCTTATTTTTTGCCCTATAGGATGAATATTTAAGGTTGCAAACTTTGTTATTTTATTTCTATGTGGTAAAGCCTTTTCTAGAACTTGAATGATGTTGTATTTAGGGGTGTGTATTATTTGGTCAAAATAGCAAAAGTGAACCTAACCAAACCAAATAAGTTTGGTTGATTCAGTTCAATTTCGAAGACGCATTTTGGCCTTTGGTTTTTTATACTTTTATATTCGGTTTTTGATTATTGCTTTGATTTCAATTTTCATTAAAATTAAAAAACTAAAAACCGAAATTTCAAAATTATATAGAAGATTGATTAAATTAAATAGATATTAGACATCTAAGATATATAATTCTTCATTTTTGAACAAACAATTAAATTTTGGTTTGTTCATCATCGTTTAAACCGAATTAAATTTCATTTCAATCAATTTGGTTTTATCAAATTTTTAATTGGTTCAGTTTTTTGAATTTCAGATTTCTGTTGCAATCAATTTGACCAATTTGATAACCGATTCATCCAAATCGAATGAATGCGCACCCCTTGTTTTATGTCTTAGGTTCTAGTCTTTTTATTATATAATTATCTTGATGTTGAATGCAATGAAATATTTATGTCAAACATTGCAGGAGACCAACTATTTATCAAATACACCTATTATTTACTTTTGGTGACTGAAAATGATATAAAACAATTACGACCAA